TGAAGTTTAAACTGTATCAGTTTTCAAAGTTAGCAGCACCAGAGCTAAAGACACAGCACTTGAAATAAATTAAATGAAATGATTGGATTGGATGACCAGACATTTCATATAGTGGAGGACAAACGATTTCTTTAGCCCCTGAAAAAGGTAGCACTTCGTCTGGTGCAATGAATACTCTACTAATGCAAATGCAGCAGAATCTTTGTCATGTTAACATGAGATTTCATAGGAGTATGAATTGTCCATGATTTTGAGAAGGGAGTGGCAGAATTGTTGTCCTGTAAGAATGAGATCGCATTGGGTTCCAGGAATCAACATTGTGATTCAGCCCTAGAATGAAATAGCATAAGGGTATGATTGACATTGCGACTCAAAAACAATTCATCGTGCAGCACTACCCCTATTATATGAAAATGTTACAAATCACTTATTGCATTAGGCAGACAAATTCAATCAATATTAACCAATGAACAACAGGGATGCTTACAGATCAGTATGTACCGGACTATATTGAAATGTAGATTTTGTTGCCTTATTTTGGTGTCACTTAAATGCCTGAACTGCTGATTGAAATATTTGCCCACTTTTGCTCAGGCAACAGAAACAGAACGGCACCTCACATGCCATCACTAGTTAAAATGACACTTGCTCTGATGTCACGCTACCGTTAGCCAGTAGCTACCTCAAACCCAGTTAAAAAGCCTAAAGCCAAACAGTCTAAAGTGTGGCTGTATTTCTTTCAAAAGGATTCCGACACCAGGATGTGTTTAAAAACAACTGCATGGAAAGAGGGGGGGCACATCAAATTTAATGACGCATCTGGCTACACTTGGGTACACTTAAAAGCAGATGGATGCATTGCATTGTGCAAATTTAAGTGTTCTGTATTTATATATATTTATATATTTAAGTTAATTTATTGTTCAATTTGACATTCAAATTTGCCTTCTAAATAAAATAGGCCATTCTTTAATGCTCTGGATTGGTTTAGGCACTGTTTAGTCACCAGTATCTTTATTTCTTCACTCTTATTGTTTATGCATTTATTTTGGAGTTGGTGGTGGGGAGGGGGGGCGCTGCTGGTAATGCCTGCCCAGGTCGCCACATGGGTGAGGACCAGCCCTGAATGTACTGGGTATAATAGGTATAAGTACAAATCCAGTGCTTGAAGTGGGCTGCTCAGAGAGAGGCTGCACCGGAACCTCTTTGTCTTTCTTTTCAGAGAACCGGCAACATTTCTAGCATGTTGGCAACTCTCATGATTTGCTAGTATCAGTAAAAGATAACAAGGCGAGTATCAGCACCTGTTTTTCCTACTCCAAGCACTGTAAAAATCCATTTAACAAACATTTTACTCCTTAACCACCTGTAGAGTAAGTCATATTGAAACTGTATTAGGTATAATGTTAAAAAGGTTAATGCAAAAGGTGCATGGCTCAGTCGGTTAGGAAACCTGTCCATAATCAGCAGGTTGCTGGTTCAGATCCTTTGATCGGCCCAGTATTTTTCCTGTTGGGCCCTTGAAAAAGGCCCTTAACCCCAATTTCTCCAGGGACTAGTGAACCAATAATGAAATGACATTGCTTTCATTGAACAGGTCAGAAAGTTGGCATTTGGAAAATGGGAGGTGGGAGCAGTACCCCAGTGACAGAGGAGAAAAAAACAGAACTCCTTGGTAACCCATGGAGGAATGTTGCGTGGGACCATAGGTATGAAGCCTGTTTTTATCAAATATTATCAGCAACTTTTGTTTATTTTTTACTAGCATCACATACTTTTATGCATGAGTTACATAACCTCCTCCCCCCACACAAGCTCACATATAAACACTGGCCAGTGTGTGGCCCTGCAGGTTAGCTCACCAGCTGGTAACTGTGTTTATCACCTACCTTGCATTTATGCATCCCTGTTGTGTATCTTTTGCCTTATATTTAATCTGTCTGCTTATGCCCTAATTGTTAATTGTCTATTATCATGGTGTCTCCAATTGTAGCAAGCTGTGCCAATGCCAATTTTATGTTGTGATAAAGATTCTGAAGATTCTGATCTTACAGTATGTTCAGCAGAGTGATGTCACAATTGGGTCCTTGAACAAGACTGTTAAGTCTTGCATAGCTTTGGTTGAAAGCACATGTAAATAATACATTAATAAATAAATAAACACTTTCTAATAAGAATGTATGATGTAAGGAATAATTGACGACGGGCCGTTGAATTATTAGAAAAATAATGCACACCCGAGGTGGTGATGCGGCCACGACGCGAAGCGGAGTTACACCTCGGGTGTGAGGTGCCGTTACACCTCGGGTGTGCATT